CTGCACTCATCTTTGCGTCCACCTGATTCTAGAAGTCCGGAGTGACACAAGTGCATCAATAGCGGATAAATTCCTGTTTCCTGTGCCCACAATAACACCAACGTGAGGTACCTTTACTCGCCCTAAACACCGGTTCTGGCTTCGTTGGGCGATGCATCTTTTGTTTGTTTCTTGGTAGTCATTGATGGTTTGCTTGGCTTGTGTCACGCTCTTCTCGCTTATTGTATTGTGAGGACATGTGCCTTCACAACTATGATATGGTGTATTGACTAGGGAACGGCAAAGCGGGCGTCCAGCTCGGTCAAATCTAATTGTTTTAGTGGGGCCGTGCTGGGACCAAGCTGGGACCAGCTGAATCACCAATTGGACTCTGACTATATTCCAGACGATGTAGAGGAGGGAGATTATTGATCTTAACTACAAGGACGGGCCCTTCGCTCCCGCTCCGGAATTATCAATACGAACAATGAGACACACTGGCGTATTCTGTTCGAAAGCAAAAACGCACTCGTTCAGAGAAACTTAAGTCCAATCCAACGTCAACGTCAACATCCGATATCATTGTTATTATCATACAGTGCCCAAGTACGCAAACGCAGATGTTTCCTATACAGACTATACTATCTCAACCTATTCTTGCGCACGGCTGGATACCCTACGTATAAAAGGAAGCATCTCATCACGTGAAGGAATGCTGTTAAGCGTAACGAATCCATCGTTGATTGAATAGTCCGCGTTTGTACGCTGAAAATGACAGGCGCAGGAGCGATGTCCACGCTGAGCTGAAAGAGCTGAACCCAAACCAAGCCTGAAGGAATGACGCCCGCAGCAACCGCGAGCACAGCAACGATCGAGTTGGCCTGTGGTGCGTGAGTATGTGCCTACCTCGGCGCATTCGGCACTCTGCTAGGAAATGATCAGACACAAATAGAGACGATACAATCAAAAAAATATAACGCGTACTGCACGACCGACACACAACGAGATTTGTGGACAAATTCCTGAATAGTAAGGTCGAATGTCACCGTGCCGTCGACAACCTCCTTGGAACTTGAAATGCGACCGACAGCCATAAGTAACGGTTGCTGCATCTCGGGTGCCTTTTCGTAGTAAGATGCTACACTGGGGTCCCCTGGAATAGGAAAGGACTGGCTGCGAATCGAGTTGGATAGTAGACTATCGGAATTCGGAGAATGAGTGTGTAGCACCGCGAGGCACGAGTTGTGGCGGTGAGCGGGAGAAGCACGCACACGAACTATACAGGCGGTTTCAGCCACCGACAAACCCTCATTCGCTTGTACCACGAGCGAGAGAGGGTAAGTTGGTATTGCCTTGCCCGACGAATTTTTTAATTCATTACTTACGTGTTCCTCCTAGTCGAATAAGAACTAGGTAGAACAATCTCATGCTTGTACCACGAGCGAGAGAAGTCTAATAAGAACTAGTTTTAACATAAAACCGGGTAGGAAAGACGACTTGGCAAAGACCAGCGCGAGACTCTCAGCAACAGGCTGGTCACCAAATGGGCTATAAGTCAGCAACTCCGTGGCATGTCAATCCGCGTCATCGCGTTTGAACGCAGTATCATAAAAACAATGGAACACGATCGCCGTCAACCCCGCAGAAGTCTGCTGAACCCGACGGCCGTTCAAAAGACAAAACACGCCCAGGACAATTGCGAGCATAGATGGACACCGTAGAAACCGGATGGGAACCGGATGAAAATGACAGAACTGCAGAACCACAAAAGAACCACAGCTCTTTTATATCATTTCGCACATCCTAAAGCAGGTAATTCGGGAAGCTATGATATTCCGTGCTGTGCAAATGCGCAAGGGTGCTAAAAAAACGTACATAAAGAGGACCAATGCTGTGCAAACCTGAAAGGGCGCAATTTCATGCTGTGCAAAATATAACCATACCCATAACGCACTAGTTCGTATAAGTTCCACCGAGAGAAGGCTACTTGAAGCTCAGGGTCATAGTATAAGTTAGGCAAATGGACAATAAGGTTTCAGCCACCATCAAAAATTCATCCATAATTTTAAAGATACGGGCTATATACATTAGCACAGAAAAAGAATGAAATTTCGCTTGCAAAAGTCTATGCGTGAATAAGGTATTAATCTTTACCTGACCGTTCCTCGTGGACGTGCGGTGGGCGTGAGTGCATGTTTAAGCATTAAACACAGAGTGCCTGCTCAAAATAGTAGGGGTTATAAGTGGATAATAGGGTCAGTTGATGCCCGTCCTAGGGTCAGAGCTGGGGCTTTCCACGCCTCTGACTACGGTGCTGACCCACGGTGCTGACCCTGGAGGGAGGTAATGGTAGATGTGCAGTGTGGCCTTCCCGGAGGGACACAGTGGCACAGGTGCACCACACTATCGTGGGCTTCCCGGAGGGCCACGGAGGCTGTGTGTATAGGCCAGCGCACTTGTACACCAGTGGGCGTCCCGGACGGCCACATAGCGTGCATGCATCCGGAACATATGTGTTACATCACAATCTGCATATACACAGATATACCATGGCCATATAACAGTGTATACATGACATTATTGTGCACCATGCCGGTTCCGCACTCTTGCATTCCATGTGGCCTTCCGGGACGCCCACTGGTGCGTTACATCGAAGGGCACAGAAACCCGCGTTCACTCGAAAAGCGTAAGGGACAAATCAAAGTTAATATTCTTATCTATTTTCTCACTACTGTTCAAAATCAGTCCCAGTTCGATCCAGGTCTGGGGCTGCCTAGACAACCGAAGGGTCAGTGATGTTAGTATGATGTCTAAAAGTGAGCGTACATGATCATAGGCAATTATATCCCAAGGTCAATCGATCACGCTCCTTCACACTGGCTGGTGCTAATACGAAGTGCCCAGAAAGTGATGTCATTGGAATGACTTCGAGCTCCTCATAAGTCTCTGCGTCCCACGATGCAACGCCAAGATCACTGGCTCTTGAAAGGAATGCATGAGCCTTCAAATGTAACATGTAAAGTACGTACCGAATCGTCCATGGAAAATCGAAAATATCTGGGCCCGCATGGAAGCGACGGGTCAAAGAAATATCAGTCTTGAGCTTTTGATCCTCCTTGTACTTCTCCTCAACGTGAAGCGGATATTGTGTCTCGGCCGATTGCCTGTAACAAAGTACGCAAACTTGGAAGATTGGCCCCGATGTTGGGATTCGGAGGCTGCACCATACCGCAACGATCTGAGGCACATACACGAGTACGAGGAAACCCATCCAGAGAAGTTAATTCCGCGGCCTGTCACATCCGTGCTCTGAAGCAGGTTGAGATCACCTTGCCAGTGACGCCTGAGATACTGTAAGACCATTTCACAGAGAGTTGGTTCTTCTGCGTGAGCTGAGTTGAAACCCCGACCGTGCGCAGTAAACGTGATGGCAGATGGCTCTTCATTGCGTTGGTGCCAATGAGTTTTGCAGCGCACAGTTTGTCCTTTAGAAGCTCAATACACTCCTGATCCTCCTTGGTCTTGTCTGGTAAAGCCTCCAGCTGCATGATCTAGAAAATAATCCAACGTATTATCGCAGGCCCTACCAAAGAGGCACTTACAAGCTCATAGTTGAAAGTGATGGACCACCAACGTCGCATGAGAGTGGCCTCGAGCTCACCTCCTTCATTTTGGCTGTGATTGAAATGAGAAATCAAACCGTTGAATCGCTCGAAGCCGTAGGCCCATATATCATAGCAGGGACCAAACTTGAGGAATTGAGCCTCGAGGTGCTGTGCAAAATGAAAATAAGGGGTCAAGTGAATCCCCATGTGCGCCCAGGCTTGAGTGGCTCGAGCAAGCGCATCGCATCCTCACTTTACGTTCTGTGGCGAAATTGATCGATGCATCGTTGCTATTGCAAGATTTATAACATTTATGACGGATCGAAGCGGTGAGAAGATTGTAAATAGAACAGGAACCGTATGTGTATAAAGAGGATAAAAAAGGACCTTAGCGGGCCAATCAGAAGCCTTGAACAGGCGGACGATTTTAAATCATTGCAACAATATAGGAGATGTTCGTAGGAAAATTGACACAGCATCGCAGTTTTATAGAAAGATTTAAAATTCATCCCCGCATCGATGACCACAAAATATCTGAAAGGATCAATTCAAACTCAATAGAGTCGGTGGGTTTAAAGTCTTTGTTACCATCTTCCGTCCCCGTCGGTTTCCTGTCGATTGTTACGACTCGCTGGATCTCGCTTATCTAAGCGTTCAAGTACCAGCAGGTTTTGGCTCGAAGCCAAAAACTGACCTCTTTAGGATGGGCGGACCCCGGCAACTCCCATGAGTCGTAACAAGATCGCACTCAGCATTTACGCTCGCTTGTCTTCGCTGATGTCGCCTCAACGTGTAGCATCCTCCCTCTTCCCCTTCCCCTTTCCCCTCTCTTCCCCTTTCCTTCCCCTCTCTTCCCCTCCCTTCCCCTCTCATCCCCTCCCCTCTCCTGTTCGTAAGTCCTCCCTTTGCCTTTCAGGTATCAGGTAAATTTGCCAATCATAACTAATTACATCATTTTATTCTCGACAGAAGGCTCTATCCTCGCTACACCTACTCCTCACGCCTCTGCCCGACATCCTCTGCAAGCGCGCATACATCTGCCCTAGGGGGAGCCATCGCACCAGCTTGCTCGTGGGTTCATTCCCATTGGCGCCCAACGCGCCGGCCAAAGCGCTGTAAGTGCTAATGTATACTGGTTCCATGGTACGTATATGCCCAGTCCGGTATTCTGTCACAACGGGGTCGCTGACATGAGCACCAGGTGTCAAAGCCCATGCCAAGGTGCTGAAGGATGACGATGGGATATCGCTGGTGTCAGGATGGATGGAGACATTGTTCGGATACTGGTAAGTAACGGCATTGTCTGGAAGTTGAAGTTGACTCTCAGCGCCGTAATGTTGGTCAACAGTTGTCGTCGCGTGGTCATACGCATCACCTGCAGCCCCTTCATACTGGCTGTATTGGCCATTGGCCACTGCAACTGTCGTACCACTGTGTATGTCAGCCTCAACTTGATGCCGCTGTGAACGTACTGACAATACTCAAATCAGCTCATGCGTCAATACTCCAGAACAATGGCTTACCACGGCGCGATATTGAACGAGTGGCTCGGTATACATGAGTAGCCATGTAGTCTCTATTTAGGACACCTGTATCTTGTTGGTATGCAATGCTTCGCATAGCACGTTCATCATATTGGAAGCCACGCATGATACCCCCGAGGAGAGTCAGGTTGACTCCATCGCGGTTAATGCTGCGATGCGCCTGCTCGTTGCCATTTGTAGTTGATGGAGAGGCTTTCCAGATATGAAGTGGAATCAAGCTGCGAGGCCAATAGATTGCGGTGAGCGCAAACTTTGTTCCTGTCACCTTATCGTTGAGCCACGCTAGATGTGAAATTAGTCCTGACGCAGTACGAGAGAGCCAATATACACACCTTTAGCTTTCTTTCCCCCGTTTGCAATGAGCTTAAGAGTACCCTCAAAATCGGGATGAGGCTCGCATGAGGACAAACTAAACATATCTGCCTGGACCTCTGATGTAATATGACTGCGAATGGCCAGGATGTTGCGTTTGTAGTGGACAACACAGGGACGATAAAAACGGCGTAGGTGATCATAAGGGCCCAGATCACAAAGACGACGGTGGGGTTCACTACTGCAGTACACCTCCATCCCTCGGCACAAGTGCATGCAAAACTTCCCAAGCCCTGTATTTCGAAGTAAATAGGACTACCACACTGTGGTTGACTGATAACTCACCAAGACCTTGTCCTTTATGCCCATCAGCTATGACAGACTCGAATCCATAACCATGGATATGCCGAAAAGCCACTGGTACACCCGTGTCAAGCTCAGCAATCTCGAAAATGAGACGAAACAGGACAAAATGAGCAATAGCTGTCTGTGAGCTGGTGAATGCTCTATCACCGACAACAGCTGAGAACAGATTAGAACATGAGATATGTTAGATGAATGAGAACATACACTTCATGTTCTCGTTATCCCAGCTTTCCATTTCAAACTCCTGCCATCCGTGTAGACGTTTGAATGAAGTGTCAATAGACAGGCGCTTTGCAGAAAGAAGATGACGAGACATCTGAGGGGACATGCAAATAACTATTCGGAATTTCTCATTTCCCTCCGTACATTCATCAGCAAAGCGAATGTAACACTCCTCAGTAGGGAGCGTCTCATGCTGACGCGCCATCAGCTGAGCACCTAACATTGGATAAGCACCCAGTATAAAAATGGTTATAAATAAGACAATCACCTTCGAAACCAGTTCCTGCAGGGAAATGCTGACTACGCAGCTCAAGAATTAGACGGGTAGTATGGTCAAGGTTACCAAGAGATGGGTGCAAATCTTGTAACATTGGGTCTCGTGTGATGGAAGATGGCCACTGAAGATATCGCCGAAGACCACCAATGAGTCCCGAGTCCAGCATGATGCGACGAGGGGTGGCATCAGCAAGCTTCCAGCCCATGTCAACTAGAAGCTGAATGAAATAGGCTTTGACAATAGGTGGAGTTCGAACAGCAGGGGGCGGAGGGTGTGAGTGTTGATTGCGACAAACTATAAGAATCTGAGGACAGCGGCGGAGGTCGAGTGGCTCATAGATCACAAAGCTAACAGGGCAGCGACAAATTAATGTTGAAAGCTCTCCTCGTTTCAGACTACCATCAGCCGTGCGGTGCCATGATGCTAACCAACAACCAGTGAGCTGTCACAAATTTTGATATAAATTGAGAAACACTTACGACAAAGTATCTCGTGCTTAAGTGGGGCAGAAAAATAGTTGCACGGAACTCAAGGACCATATCCTAGCTCAGCAGCCCGGCTCTCGGTAAAATCTATAACTGCCATATTGCCCCGGAGAAGTGCTTCCAGGTACTGTACATTATACTCGTCGAGATTATGGAGTACTAAGTGAGCGCGGCTGACCCGGGACCAGAACTGACAATTACAAAGTAATTGGTTAAGCAAACAGATGTTAATAGCTGTCGTTTGAACTGCGCGTACCGTAAAAATGGTTTGTTAAACTGGTTCCAATGCAGAACCATCTTCCCTTGGCAGGTATCAGTGCAACTGCGTCGAAAACTAGTGTCTTGGTCTGCCTCAGAGCCGAGTTCTGTATCAGTATTGTCTAAGGGATCACCAAACTCGTCAGATTCTCCTGTTGACTGCGTGAGACTGGTGGTATGCAAGGGATCCAAATCATGGTTAGCACGGAATGAACATCCTTTGCTGACCAAAACACAGTAGATTGCAAACGTCTTCATGAACACCTCCTTCTCAGCATCATCAAGACTTGATAGGCTCGAGGGAGAACAACCATCAGCAGGGCTTGGATAAGGAAAGCAATATGGAGAGATGCGCATGTGCGCAGAGCAGTATTTAATGCCACGGCCTTGAGGATGTAGATAGATAATCAGCCTGAAAGGTAATGATGTGGTGATACAACACTTACATGAAGTTCGGAGCGCCTTGCAAGGCACGGACTTGCCGTCCTTATCTCTGAGTAGATAGCATTCGACCTTGGGATGCCCGCCATGGCCATCACCAACAGAATACTGGAGATTGAACTTGGGGTGAAGAAAGTGGTCAGGATCTACCTGAAACCGGTAAGCTATCGAAGAATCACTGCTGTTGCCCGTCCCAGGGTACTCGATAACAGAACCTATAGGATAGTCAATCAGTGCATCAACATAAGTCTGCCTGTTAACACGATTAATCTTTGCAGTGCGTTCAGCTTGAGTGAAGAAATATGGAGTAGGGTGGTATGAAGAAATTGAAGCTGAAATCGGCGACCCTCGACGAGTAGAACGAGAGGCTGAAACTGAGCGTGTGGCAGGCATGGGTTCATATGGTGAGGTCAAATGCCATCGAAACAGTATGCAATTTATATGTTCTCCC